ATTTTATTTACAGTAAAATTTAAAATAAAAATTTAAATTGTAAACATAATTATAATTTGTGACAAAAAAAAATATAAATTTTTGTTATTAATTTTTCGTCACAAAATATCTATTTTATTGTAGTGAATACACAATGCAAGATTCTCAATTTGAGGAATGTTTTGATTTGCATTCCCTTTTCTATTTAGCGGCTTCATCTTCAAGCTCCCACAACCCATTAGACCACGCCGGTAACTCATCTCCACCACCGTTCAAATCTTCTCCACCGCACCTAACCAGCTCGACTACCCCAACCTCTTTGTCGAAATCCCCATGGTCATTCTCATCGTTAGATGCTTCCAGCAAATGCCTTATAATATCCTCCTCATCTTTCAACAAATTAGAAGAAGAGAAAGAACAACTAGCGAAATTATAATCTTTCACAGCGATAGATGCCGTAACCTCATTGGTATCCATGGTTGTTAGACATAGAAAAATACCCGATAAAGATTCCAATGAGAGCCCTTGCTGTAGGGAGGTGATTAGGGATGATAAATCTTGGATGGGTTCATCTTCTTCGGATTCAAGCATAGAGAGCATGTGATGTCACACTCAATAAAGGCCACATGGTCTCCAACTCAACAATGGATTCCACTCAACCATGAGGACCGTTAGTTTTTGACGGATTAATGATGTCATCAGTCAGATAAGGGCTCTTTGCCACTGTCGTATACTTTGAGGGGTTGTTTGTCACTGATTTAGGTTGAGGGGCTCATTGCCACTGCTTGACAAGTTTAAAGGGTTATTTGCATGATTTGCCCTATGTTTATATAAAATATTAATAATTTATTTTTTTATTTTTAATAATTATGATTTATTATGATTTTTTTAGATTAAAAAATAATTATTTTAATAAATATAAATAAATCTTAATAATTGAAAATAAAAAAATAAATAATTAAAATTTTATATGTGCTGTATGTAAAATTTATTTATGAGTAAATTTCAACTCAAACAAAAACATTATGATTATACGAGTAGTATTGTAGGCTTAATTATGCATTACAATTCTAGCTGAGAATGTAATATTTTCGAAACTATTTATCTATCAGGACTGCGATTTGAGAGCAACCATATTTTTTTATGGGAAAAACAAAGCAGCATTTCGTTTCAGTAAGCTCAACAGAGACTGAAAAGTTAAGATGATGAAAGACCATCATAAGTTAATCTGCCTGAGTCAGATAACAAGGTTGCATCTCTATACCATATCAAATCTAGGAATAAAATATGTTTGTGAACAGAAAATTAAAATTAAAGGACGTAAAAAATCAAAATATTTTAACATTAAAACTACTTAACCATTTAATCAAAACTAAATAATAGATGAGATGTAATGTAGATCCCATGTAAATCTCATATATCAATCATGTCGTCGGGATTTGTTCTAATTTTTACTTTTATGTTGAAATTATGTGCTATTAGATATATATATTCCTATAAAAAGTGGCTTTGTGACTCTTCTCGAAGCCTCTCATCAAACTGGGCTCTTTGAGTTTTGGGTTAGGGCCGGCCAAGAAGAGTAACGATTCATGAAGCCCACTTTAACTTCCACCACCGCTTCCACCAGATTGTGAGGCAACACCAAGGCCCATAAATAACTTAATTACCTTTTCTTTTTTTTTTTCTTTTTTACATTTGATAATAGGCTAGGTTAGACTTCTCCTCTCCAAACCCTTTCTCCCACTCATCTCACGATTTAAATTTAAGAGTTTTAATTTAGAGATTCGAAATTTTGAGTATTAGGATATTCTCTCATAATATATTTGATTTGAGGGGAATGAAGGGAAGTGAAAGAAGAGGGAGGGGGAAGAGAAAGGGAGGAGAGAGAAAATTGTTTACTAATTAAATTATAACATTTTTAATTATTACAACTGATTAGTCAAAAAATCCTTCGTGCGATTCACCTCAAAGCAAACATAGTATAAGGAACATAAACAACTTAATTATACAAAAAATGGAAAATCTATTTCTAG